TCTCTCTCTCTGTGTGTCTCTCTTACTGTCTCTCTCTCTCTGTGTCTCTCTCTGTCTCTGTGTCTCTCTCTCTGCGCAGTCGATCGCTCGGTGCGTCTCCTGAAGGATTGTGGGCCAGCGGCGCTCTCTGTCGAGCTCACCTATCTGACACCAGAGGGGGGCGGGGCCAGCAGCCTCCTTCTCGCCTTCATTCAAATGATTGACAGCATGTTGGCCGGTGGGCGGGACTTTGATCTGGCTCACGCTTACCTGGCGCTTTTCCTGAAGGTCAGCCAATCAGAACGCAGCTGAGTCGTTTGTTTCCTCAGTCTTTTATTGTGAAAATCTTCCCTCAGTTTCCTGTTTGTGATCCTTATTTTTTTTTTTTTTCAGCTCCATCTCCGCTCGTTATCGCAGGATGCCGTTGCCATGGCTGCGTTGGTCCGCCTCTCCTCCCGGCTGGAGACGGGGTGGGCGGAGCTACGGACATCATTCGACCAATCGCTGTGTCTGCTGTCGTACGCCAAGAGTGCACTGCTGTGACACACTGAATATGTATTTGATTAAAAGCTGTTTGATGTTCGTCTGTTTCATTCATTTAAAGCAGCATCGTGTTTTTATCCTGAATATCAGAATCATTTTGATGCTTCACTGACTTCTAACAGGGAGAATGGCGTCTCCGCTCCGGGAAGCTGGTTATATTTGCAACACTGGGGGGAAGTCTATCACGACGTAAAGCTTTAGGTCAGCACGTCACGGCAGCTCGGTTCAGCGAGCTGTAAGAAGAAGCTAAATGTAAAATGTACAGAGTGAGTTCTTTGGAAGAAGCTCTGTATTCTCAGTCATTCATAATTTTAACTCCTCAGGACGAATTCTTTGACAGAATGACCTCTTCTTCTGCAGCCAATCCCATCAGGCGAAAGGCGGGGTTCACCCTGGACAGGTGGCCACAGCAGGGCCACATCTAAACAACCACTCGCACCTGAGGACAGTTTAGCGTCACCAGTTAATTGGCCTGCATGTGTTGGACGGGGGAGGAAGCGTGAGGGTGTTTATAGCTGAACAATAATTAATAGCAGATATGTACAGAAATGATCCTGACGTTACCGGCAGCAGAGGCACTTATCTTAATCTGGGAGCTCTCATCACAGCAGAAACCGGGCTTCAGTGTTCTTCTGCTGAAGCTCTGCCAGAGAAGGTTCCCCTGCTGGCTTTCCTGTGTGCAGGGCTGAGGCCGCCGTGCAGCAGGAGGTGTGGTCTCGGTCCCAGGTGACTCCTGGGGTGGGCAGTCTTGTTTCAGGCAGACCGCAGAGATCTGCAGGACCTGATGTTTCTTCAGACTTTCTATAAACACAAAAGGCCTATTTCTCAAATATTGTTCACAAATCTGTCAAAATCTGTGTCAGTGAGCACTTCTCCTTTGCAGAGATAATCCATCCACCTCGCAGGTGAGGTATATCAACATGCTGATCAGACAGCATGGGGATTGCACAGGTGAGCCTTAGGCTGGCCTCAGTGAAAGGACACAGTGCAGTTACATCACACAGCGTGTTAAGGGTTTTGTGGGACAGTTTGGAAGTTGATACGTCCAACCTGTAGTACATTACAGTGTAAAACCTGTCATCTCCTGTTGCCAGCAGGTGGTGCTGTGACTTTGAGTGAATGTTGGCATGTGGCTGTCATATATGTAAAATTTGGTGTAGATGTGAGTATGTAGACCGCTGTTTGATGGTGAATCATCGATTTTGGACGGCACGCCACGGGCACACCGTTCCACGAATACTCCCCATTTGCACAACTTTTAATCGTCAATGGGTTTAGACCGTACTGCAAAACCTGAAGTCGTTCGGACTAAATGCCTAGGAGGAGTTTGTTAAAGTACAAAGTGTGTGTCTCTCTCTCTCTCTCTCTCTCCCTCCTTCACCCCAACCGATCGAGGCAGATGGCCGCCCACCCTGAACCATGGTTCTGCTCGAGGTTTCTGCCTCTTAAAGGAAGTTTTTCCTTGCCTCTGTCGCCTAGTGCTGCTCTTGGTGGGAACTGTTGGGCTTCTGTAAATAACATCACAGAGTACGGTCTAGACCTGCTCTTTTATGAAAAGCGCTGTGAGATAACTGTTGTTGTGATTTGGTGCTATATAAATAAAATTGAATTGAAATTGAATCAATAGGTAAACCTTTGTCCGGGGGCTGCTCTGTAGGGGGCGCTAGCGAGCCATTTTGCCACACCCATGCACGAAACCCATAAAATACAAAAGTTTTCACCGCGTCTGAATTATGTGCAAAGCTTGGTGAGTTTTCGAGCATGTTTAGGCCCCCAAAACTGAGGTTACTTTGCAGAAAAAAAAATCCCTCGGGCCCTAAATATTATGCAGGTTCACAATGGTGATGGTTTACAGAGACTTCTGTACATTAGTCACTAGGTGGCAGTGTGTTCACATGATACACAAGAGCTTAGTTCTATGAATTAATAACTTGCTCATTTCATGTCATATAAAATAAATATTGTTAAACACCAGGACACTGTGTGCTGAGCGGGCAACATAACAGGGCTCAGCAGCAGCTGCTGTGGACGTAACGTTAGCTAATGGCAGAGGCGAAGAGGACGCAAAGAAGAGAGAAGAGAGTTACTGAGTAAGAGGCAGTCTGACGTTCTTGAACTAAAAGGCTGCAGGACGGATGGCGAGCTGGCCTTCTTTCTGCTGACTACTCCGTTACTTTGCTGTCTTGTTGCTTGATGTTTGGCTGTTAGCAAAGTTGGCGACTTGCTAGTTTTTTATTGTAAGTACTGTAATCACGCAGCTGTCATGTTCACACACTTGATGAAGAATTGTTTCGGGCTGGACCAGCTGAAGACCCAAAACCACTGAGCAGACCTTTCATTTGATAATCTGGATGTCCATGTACAGTCCCCTCCAAAAGTATTGGAAATTCGATCTTAAACCCAAATGTCTTCAGTGAACAACAAAAACAAAGGAATTTGTCTTTCTGTTCCAATACTTTTGGAGGGGACTGTATATTCTTTTTAAAGATATAGGCCTAATAATTGACAACATTAAAACTTAAACAAATCAGATTGCATTTGTAAAAAAAAGATAGAAACGTTTTCTGATGAAACAATCATTTTTAAAACAAGTGTTTTAAAGACCTTTTACAATACTTTTCACAGCCAGGTGTTCTCCAGAGTGGACCCAGTGCCAGGGGTGTAGGAGTGACTTTGAACCCGGGGGGGAAGCTGAAATTCTAGGGGGGTTTGGTATCCTAATCCGATATTTAAAAATTTTAAATAAAGCACTTAAATGCTCATTTCTAATGACTTCTCAAAACAGAATGTGCTTATTAGTTTGGCTGAAAGAGGTTTGAGATGTGCAGTGAGAGAAGATGGAGAACAGACTGGAGAGGGGTATCATGAAGGTGCACAATCAGAGACGGAGAATATAACTACAACAAAACTCCACTGACTACATACCATAAAAAGATGGAACAGCTGCTAGTTAATGTAGCCACAGCTCAAATGTATTCACGTAACGTTACACTTGTGAGCTGTGATATTTCCTGTCTCTCTTGGCCCTGAGTCTCCCTGCAACACGTTTGTGAACACAGAAGTGTCTTCAGTGCAAACTCTGATGACATGCCGTTGGTCTAACAAAGTGTTTTTACTACGTGAGTTTTAGAATAGACAGTATGTCTCCTAGCTGTCCATCCAACTTACAAGCTCCTCAGTTTTTTCTCCTCCTGCTCCTGTGACCTCTGACCTCGTCCTCTTGAAATACTGCAGGACGCTCGTCTCTGTGAGACAATTTTGATTACTTTTAAGTTTTATACATTTTATACACAAACTGACGCCCAAACGAAACAGACTTTTTAATTAGCAAGTACTCTTGTTGAGTAGTGTTCTGGCAGAAGGGATAAAACTCCTGCTATAGCGAGCCCGTTTCCATGCCAGGAATCTATATCTACGTCCTGATGGTAGCAGAGTGAACAATGTGTTGAGAGGATGACTGATGTTGTGTGCTTTCTGTAAAATGGCTTTCCTGTTGAGGTCAGAGAGACTTGTGGTGGGGAGACCAATTATTTTGGAGGCGTTATTTGTGGTGTGTGTAAATTTTTTCTTATTGGTCACAGTGAGTATGTTGAAATAACAGAACAGTAAAGAAGGACGGGTTGAATTATGCTTTTGTAGAGCAGCAGTAGAAGGTGTCTTAGCTTCTCTGCATTGGCTTCCAGTAAAATCCAGAATAGAATTTAAAATCATTCTTCTTACCTGCAAAGCTCTTAATGGTCAGGCACCATCTTATCTTAAAGAGCTCATAGTACCTTACTACCCCACCAGAGCACTGCGCTCCCAGAATGCAGGGTTACTTGTGGTTCCTAGAGTCTCCAAAAGTAGACTAGGAGCCAGAGCGTTCAGCTATCAAGCTCCTCTCCTGTGGAACCAGGTTCCAGTTTGGGTTCAGGAGGCAGACACCATCTCCACATTTAAGAGTAGGCTTAAGACTTTCCTCTTTGATAAAGCTTATAGTTAGGGCTGGCTCAGGTAGTCCTGAACCATCCCTTAGTTATGCTGCTATAGGCCTAGACTGTCGGGGATTTCCCATGATGCACTGAGCTCCTCTCTCCTCTACTTTCTCTCCCTCTGTATGCAACCTCATCCCATTATTGCATGTTACTAACACAACTTCTCCCCTTTCTGGTAGTCTTGTGCTTTCTCGTCCTCTCTCTCCTCCTATCACTTCCTGCAGGTTTTCTGGCTCTGGAGCTGTGGAGTCTGGATCTGTGGTTGCGGGTCACCTGCTGCCCCCGTGTTCCTGCTCGACACCCTCTGCTGCAACGACTATTGTTACTAGTCCTATTGTTATTATTGTTATTATAATCAATAACATTGCGATATCATTAACACTAACAATATCTGTACCATTTTTCATTTAGTCTATAGCACCTTTACTGTCTGTACTGCCTCTTTATACAACCAGAGAAACCGGCAAAGCCTAAGACTATGGGTCCTATTTTAACCATGCGCACGGCGTGAAGCTCAGTGCACAGGGGCATTTGCACTGTTTCCGAATTAAGGGGTGAAAAGTGAGATGAATGCAGAATTCAGCAATGGGCATCTCAGGCAAAGCACTCTTGTGGTTCGAAGCCTACCTCTTCCATCAATGTTTTGTAGCAAGGACAATTATCCTCCTCCCACTGCCTCTCCACAGGGTACCCCAAGGCTCAGTGGTAGGGCCCCTTCTCTTCTCAAGTTACACCAACTCTACCTATCCTTCCCTCCAGACGACCCCAACGTCTCGGCGCGGATCACGGACTGTCTCGACATAACTGCATGGATGACAGCTTGCCACCTTATAACCGATATATTTATAACATATTTAGCTTAGACACTTTTATCCAAAGCAACTTACAATTGCTACATGTCAGAGGTCTCACGCCTCTGGAGCAACGAGGGTTAAGTGTCTTGCTCAGGGACAGAATGGTGGATGGGTCACAGTGGGAGATTGAACCCGGGTCTCTCACACCAAAGGCATGTGTCTTATCCACTGCGCCATCACCACCCTAGCACCTTCAACTAACCTCTCTAAGA